TAGAAACCCCCCTCCCATCGACTCTGATCATGCATCCCGCTAGAAATTGATCACCAGTTGCAGATTCCGACTTCGGAGACACCATGGAACAGCCCATAGACCCTGTTCACTTCTTTGGACTCGGTTCCGAGGTCCCCGATTTCGTCAACCCTCCTCCTGCTGATCCTCCCATCCCCACTGTCCCAACCGCTGACAATGCCGAACCCATCCCCAATGTGGCTATTACACAACTAGCCCAAGCCATCGCCAGTTTGGCTTGTCACACCAGACGTCCACCACATCCACCATCCTCCGCTCTCCGGACCAAGGTCCGTGAGCCCAAACAGTTCAACAGAAAAGATCCCCGAGAACTCCGAGTATTTCTGGTCCAATGCGAACTGAATTTCCAGGACCATCCCCTCGCTTTTGCTAGTGACCGTGCCAAGGTCATCTTTGCGCAGTCCTACCTCAAGGGAATGGCCCTTGATTGGTTTGAGCCGGATCTATTATTTGATCAAAATTCTATGCTTTGTCCGCTGTAACGGGTCTATCCAACTAGACTCGCAACAGGAAAGAGGGGGGGATAAGGATCTCACTGAGGGTCAGGGCTGAAGTGGGGTATATTGGTCCTCTAGAGTGTGGTGCTGATACTCTCTAGCTAGCTGTACAGCGGGTCACGGAAGAGTCCGATAGATAAATAAGGAAAGAGTATCACATGACAATAAGAAAACGGAAACATCTGGCTCTAGACACCGGAAATGAAATCAGAAAAATTAGGAAAAATAGGAAATATGTGTAAGGAGTGTGAGTGGACATGGGTTACATGTGATGGATGTGAGGTGCTTGCTGAGGGTAGTAGAATCGCGGGATTTGGCTCGTTTAGGGTGCACCGGCAAATCCCCGTTACACCGCGATGGATGAATAACTATCAAGAGTTCGTCAATGAACTTCAAACCAACTTCAGTCCTCACGATCCTGTGGGCGATGCTGAAGTTCAACTCATGACCCTGGACATGAAGGATGGGCACTACATCAATAAGTACGTCATCGAGTTCAACTGACACGCCTCTCAACTCCATGGTTATGGAGAAGCCGCGCTCCATTGTTTTTTCTATGATGGATTGCCGGAACGTATCAAGGACGATATTGCCAGAGTCAGTAAACCTTTTACTCTTTCAGAACTTCGCACCTTGTCACAAACTTTCAATGTGCACTATTGGGAGCATAAATCCAAAGTGACACGTCACACGAAACCCTCCTCCTCTAACATTTTCAACAAGTCCACTGCCGCTTCTCGTTCCGACCCCATTCCTTCCTCCTCCTCTTTCAACTCCGCTTCCGGTAGCAAGCCTCCGAAGGACAATAAGAACTCCAAGGCCAGCTCTGCTAAGCCGGACCTTTCGTCAAAACTCGGAGACAACGGCAAGCTCATGCCACAAGAGCGTAAGTGTCGTCTCAACGAGAAACTTTGTATGTTCTGTGGTCAGTCTGGCCACATGGTCAAAGACTGTCCCAAGTCTTCTCCTTGCGCATCTAAGGCCTGTATGGCCCAGACTGAGGAGCAAGGATCCGCTTCCGCAGAGGCAAAAAATTAGTCCGCACCCCTGTGGACTCCGCATGGACCAGGGGTTGCAATTCTTCCCTCCATGCACTCAAAGAAGTGCGTTTAAACATGTCTTCCATCTCCGACTTATCCTCCCTCCATATTCCCGTTTCTTTTTCTCTTTCAAATGGTCTATTTTCTCCTCTCAATGTTGACCCTTCAGTTGATGTTCTACCTGCCGTAGATAGTGTTGCTGATGTACCACTCTCTCCTCCTCCCCCTCCGACTACTTCCGTAGATCGTTCCACCTCCCTCCACTTCTCTTCTTTCTCTTCTCCTTTCTCTTCTTCTCCTCCATCCGATGATAGGACAAAAAATAAACTCTTCCGCACCTATGAGAACGTACCTGCACTCATAGACTCTGGGTCTTCGGACTGCTTCATCGACGACACATTTGTAAAGAAGTTGGCCCTGAAGACATATCAGATTAAACCCCTACAACTATGCCTTTTCAACAGTAGCACTAACTCAATCATAACCCATGCCGTTGATATTCCCCTCTGCTTCGCTTCCGGAAACATCACCCCCACGACTTTCTTTGTCACATTGCTGGATGGATCATGTTCCCTAGTCCCAGGACACAACTGGCTTACCCACTACAATCCGTTGATTGACTGGGTCTGTCAGAGACCAGATTCGAGACGAAGGAATGTCTCCGTAATGGAGGGCTTCGGCCTCAGCGACTTCTGCCAAGAGCGCTGTGCCTAGTGACACGTCCGTGCCCTAACTTACTGACTGGCAATTAGAACCTAGGGGGGTAACTCTAGTTGATTTTACTACTGGGGCGTAACCTATGTACAAGTGGGATATATATATGGTTACAGCGGAGATGGTTCTGCAATTGGCGGAGCCGAACGGAGCGGAGCTAATGGGGTTTAACATTAGCCAACTGAATATTACCGACGAGTCGGTTCGCGGGGTTAGCGGAAAGGCAGGCGATAACCCAGAAACGGAAAGGAGGGATAGGCCCGAAGGTGGGCTCTGCAGGGCAGGCGAGTGTATTGCCCAGCGGAGGCGGGGGTGCGCTAGCGGACGTCAGAGCTGTCCGGAAGTCTTCGGGGCTCCATACTTAGGGAGGCGTAGGTAATAAATTGAAATGAGGGGGTGGTGACCATCGAGGGGTGCCGAGAGGATTGCGGAATACGGGGGCTCCGAGGTTAGTGAGGGAGGAGCGGAGTTGGAACGGAGGGATCGGAGGGACCGGAAGTCGATGGCCGGGGATGGATATGACAGGGTCTCAAGCAGTATTACATTCCGAACTTCCGAACCTACCAAGACAGTTACTCCGAGCTCTCCCCCGTCGTCTCCAGTACCACTGCTGTCATCCGACATCCAACCATCTGATGTTCCGCCAGCACCTCAGCCTCAGGCTCCCACTCCTCCATTACCATCTATCGAGTTTGTCAGCCATTCCGCATTCGCGAAGGCTTGTCGACTTGAAGGATCGGTATCCTTCAGCCTAACCATCCCTTCTGAGGACAGCCGCTTGAGGGCTGCCTCATCCCACACCAATTCCGTTGACCTCTTGGCCGTTCCGAAGGAGTACCACGAGTTCGCAGATGTGTTCAGTAAGAGCAAAGCCTCGACACTGGCACCGCACCATGAGCACGACCTGAAGATCGACCTTGAGGAAGGCACTTCACCACCCTTGGGTACTATGTACTCTCTCTCTACTTTGGAACTCGAGGCTCTCCAGGCATTCTTAGATGAACACCTAGCCTCCGGGTTTATTCATCCCGCTACTTCCGCTCATGTGGCACCAGTCCTCTTCATCCGCAAGAAGGATGGATCCCTCCATCTTTGTGTTGACTTCCGAGGGCTGAACAAGATCACCAAAAAGGATCGCTACCCACTTCCCCGCATCTCAGACCTCCTTGATGCACCTAGCTGTGCCACGGTCTATACCAGACTCGACCTCTGGCATGCCTACCACCTGGTTTGCATTGCAGCAGGCGACAAATGGAAGACTTCCTTCCGCATGTGCTATGGTTCCTATGAGTGGCTTGTCATGCCATTCGGTCTCATGAATGCACCTGCAGCCTTCCAGTGATTCATCAACACAATCTTTGCCGACCTCTTGGACGTTTCTGTGGTAGTCTACCTAGACGACATCCTTACCTACTCAGAAGACATGGCTTCACATCAGGAGCATGTCCGAGAAGTTCTTAGGAGACTCCGCAAACACGGCCTATACACCAATCCGAAGAAATGCGAATTTCATACGGACACTACAGAATATCTCGGATACTGCCTTTCTCCCTCTGGACTCACCATGTCCATCGAGAAGGTTAAATCCGTCCAAGATTGGCCCAAGCCCCGTAAAGTCAAGGATGTCCAGTCCTTCCTTGGCTTCGCTAACTTCTATCGGCATTTCATCCACCAATACTCCAACATTGTGGTCCCCTTGATGCACCTTACGTGTAAAGGAGCCCCCTGGTTATTCTCTGATGACTGTCGCTCCGCTTTTAACACCTTGAAAGAAGCCTTCACTTCCGCTCCTATCCTGACACATTGGTTACCCAACACCCCCCTCATTGTAGAAACTGATGCCTCCAATTACACGATCTCCAGAATCCTGTCCATCCATTGTGATGATGGAGAGATTTGCCCTGTCACTTTCCGCTCTGGAACACTCTCGGTGCCGGAGCTCAATTATGACACCCATGATAAGGAACTGCTCACCATCCATGATGCGTTCCAATCATGGTGTCACTACCTTGAAGGTTCAGGAACTCCAATCGACATCATTACCGACCACAAGAACCTCGAGTATTTTCCCACCACCAAACTCTTGACCTGGTGGCAAGCCCGCTGGTCAGAGTTCCTCTCCCAGTTCCACATGACTGTCCGATTCCATCCCGGAAGACTCGGAGTAAAACCAGATGCGTTGACTAGATGCTGGGATGTCTATCCCAAAGAAGGGGATATGGACTATGCTCGCGTTGTAACGGGTCTATCGCCTAGACTCGAGACAGAGAGAAGGGGGAGGGTGGTAGTGTGCGCGGGTGTGGTTCGTTGGGCCGGGTTTTGGTCCGTGGGTGCTACCGAGTCTGCAAAAACCTCAAACAAACACTCACCTACGTCTCTCTTGGACGTCAAGGCTGAGGATTCTGATAAGAGGGGTCTTAGACGTTATCAACTAGCTCAGAGGGGGCGTTAGGGTCGTGGATGGCGTCTTTGCCACTTGGATGCAACTTCTGCTTGTCCCTTCACGGGTCTATTCAATACTAACTTGTTATGTACAAGCTGTTATCTAGTTTATATATGTTGGGAATGAAATGAATGGACTGGGGGAATGTAAACGGGCCGTTAGGCAACCGTAAATGATGAATATCCAATTGGGAACAAAGAAACAATAAAAGAAATATGAGTGAATGGGGAAAATGTGACAACGGGTCCGAAATGGGAAATGTAAAAGTTAACTCCGCAACGCTTCGTCACAGCGCCCGCCTATCCTCCCGTCAGCAACCTCCTCGTCTCCAGCTTTCCAACGAGCCCTTATTCGTCCTAATTGGTGCAGTGGTTCTTGAGATGTGGAGAGGGGGTGAAATTGGCGGCGTGGTTGGGCGTGGGAATTTTGCTTGGGGTTGTCGGGAATGATGGGGAAAATAGGGAAAAATAAGGAATGAGTTTGTGGAGTGTTGGATAGTGTTAGAATGAACATCGGGAGCGTCAGAGGGTATGTGGTATATGTTGGTGGCCAAATTCCACAGAATCCGACTTTTTGCGGTACACGGAGTTGTCCCCACAACAGCGTCAATCTGCAGAACTTCCGACCGGTCTTCACTTTGGAGCAGCTCACTGCATCCTTACAAGCCACATTCCTAGCTGCCACAGTAATCCGAGCAGCCATACTCGTCGACACAGAGGGTCTCCATTGAGCCATTCTAGCCTCCCTCTCCTCCGATACCACAATCTCTTCTCATCTTGCTTCCCCCAACCTCCCCAATTCCCACTGGTCTGTTGATGCTGAAGGCCTGTTAAGGCTGGACAACCGCATCTATGTTCTGGATTCCAATGATCTTCGTCTCCACGTTTTGCGAGACAAACACGACCACCAACTTTCCGGACACTTACCTGACTTGTTGGTAATGTTCAGTCAGCTAATGTTTAACTCTGTTAGCTCCGCTCCGCTCGGCCCCATGTCGGAGATCCATCAGGAGGTCGGAGCAAATCCGGAGTCTCCAAATGTTCCAACTTGGGACTGAACTTCCGGGATGGGAGTGGCCAAGGTAAAGTGTGCCACAAACCAGGCCGGAGCTGAGACAGTTGGGAAGGAAGGTGACTTGGGAAGTGGGTTATGGTGTAGGGGATGATGAGGTTGTTAGGAAGGTGTGATGAGGTGGGAGAGTGCAGGGTCGGGATTCCGGGATATGACATTCACTGCAGATACATCTGTTCCCATGCTGCCCAATTGCTGGAGAAGAATAACATCCCTGTTACAACCATGAGGCCGGAGGTCTGTCAAAAACCCGGATCGTAGGGGTAAATGCGTGAGTCCGAATGCAGGTGGGGCTCAACTAGAGGGGGAATCCGAGAGCTCTGGTGGTGGACCGAAGCTTCTCCGGGAAGCCCGGTTCTGCTGGATGGTACAAGAGGCTCTAAGAGGGATGCGGCCTCAGCGACTCGGAGGGAGCACTGTGCCTCCGTTACGTCTCAGTTAGTCCTTGTATTTCTTATGTCTGAGGTATCTTGTAGAATGGAACGGGATTCACTCAGAGGGACTTTGGGTAGCATATTAGTCAAGATTAGAACTGAGGAGTTACAGGTTCTTGTCAGGATCCGGACCCCAGCTGGGAGTGGCCGGAGGGCGAGGCCGGGTGTGGAAGCTGGGGTACTCTCCCCAGGTGCTAACTCCTCGAAGTCGCTGAGGGGACTGGCCTCAGCCTTCACAGGGAATGAGCTGCTATTCATTGAAAAGCGGGTAAGTACACTTGCCTTCACAGGGAATGAGCTGAGAAGAAGGGTAAGCTTCTCAGCCCCCTGTGAGGCCGACACAAAAGGACCCTAGGAACTATACAGTTCCCGCTTGCTGCCGACTTTCCATAACGGGTGTGACCCGTGGGAAAGTTCTGGGTGAGCTGCTCGCCCAGAATGTTCCCACGGTTGTGGCTGTACATTTCTGGGCGAGTCGCTCGCCCAGAACGTTCCCACGGGTTTGCACGCGCGCGTCATTATGTGAAACAGTGGGGGGAAGGATAAGGGGAATGGGGAAATGTGGAGAGAGGGTGGTTAGGAGAAGGGTGAGGGTGTCTGCGGGTGAGTGGGGTCAAGGGCTGTGCCCTGACAGTTCTAATCTACGGGTATTTATAAAGGGGAGTGGAAAGGACTTAGTCAAAGTCCGAATGACAATGGGATGACACCGAAAGGTGCCGAATGATACCAAGAGGTACCGAAAGGTCCCGAACGATATCTTTAATGGGGAACCAAGGTGTCGGACCATGGAGGGCAGAGTAAGAGGCCGGAAAATGAATGGGAACGAGAAATGGGTAAGGGGGGGTTAGCCGACTGAATGGTAAGAAGAAGATAGTCGTGCTAAGAGTGGAGGGTGACTAATAAGTGATGACGTGAGTGAGATCACCAAAGGATGCGGGTAACTCCGAAAGCGGAGTTGCATATCCGAAGGATGTTGGGTGACTCAAATAAATGAAATGGGTGGAGAAATGGTTTAAGGGTGTGTCACGGGATGTCGGAGGTCCATTGGGATATCGGAGCAAATCCGGAGTCTCCGAATGTTCCGACTCGGAACCGAGCTTCCGGGATGGGAGTGGCCAAGGTTCGGTGTGCCACAACCAGACCGGAGCTGAGACAGTCAGGAGGGGAGGTGACTTGGGGAGTGGGGAGGCATGGTGTAGGGGATGGTGAAGTTGTTAGGAAGGTGTGGTGTGGTGGGAGTGTGCAGGGTCGGGATTCCAGGATATGACAAGGTGCCCATTTTCATCCATTCTAGGTGCAGGAAGAGGGAAGGGCGAGGGGAGATGGTTCATAAGGTTTTACAAGTGATTTCACAGATGGTTTAACATGTGGTTTAACAGGTAGTGTGGCAGCAGGTTTTCATTGATTAATGATTGGTTAAACTCAATGTCGGAAAATTGCGAGATCGATCAAAAGCACAAGACTTGACATTTAAAACGCCAAAATTTGATGTTTAAACGTGAATTTTGGCATCTAAACGTTGTGATAAATTGTTTATGGCGTTTTGATATTATTGAATGCGTTTTTATACCCCTCAAATGCTCTGAATATGTTTTTAATAACTTAATAAATGTGTCATAAATGCTTCCTACAGCATCAAAATCGTCAAAAATCCGTCTCATATAACACATAAAGTACCACCACATCTGACCAATGTATTCTCATTGGCTGTTGGGTAGTTGTTGTAAACATAAACGCCATGAAACATTTCCCAGGCATTTAAACGATATACGGGATTTTCCGACAAATTACTCTACATATCACATGATACAGAACCCATAAGAGTCTAAAATGGGAAATTCCCATTTCTATAACAATCCCCTTCATCTTTAGCTAGCAATCACTATCAGCAAAAATAAACTTAGGCACTTACAGCAGGAGACAGAAAAATCTGCCAGTTGCAATTTGAATGGGTAAGTGGGGCAGGTCAATCATCTGCCTAAAGAAGTTGGCAAGATCGTGGCCTCACAAAAGGGGTTTCCTTATTTGGATGAACAGCTCAATGCCGGGGTCTCCACCCTCAGCAATGATGGTGATAGTCACCACCCTAGAATAAGTTAAATGGAAATGACGTTGAGTGTTGTGGAGCTGAACGATGCCCAGCATGATATATAAGACATGTGGAATGACGGTGGGGTTGGAGGCTAGCTCTGTTCTCAGCTACTTACAATGTCGAACACTGGACAGCTCAATAAGGCTTACTATGTCAAGAACAAGGACCAGCGACGTACCTGGAATATGGCCTATCTTCTAGGCTTGACTCAGGATAAACCATTGCCAAAGAGCCATCAAGAAGCAGTTTACAATTTTATCGAAATGGACATCTCTTGACTATCTTCCGGATGATTCAGAAGTTACCTTGAATGCGCTCTCAGATGGTGGTGGCAACGTTACCGGTATGCCAGTCAGGATCCCCAACAATTGTAAGTCTGGTTCCCTTAGCCTCCTAATCTGACCCTTGGCGATGCTTTTTATTTCCAGGGGAAGACAAATCACCCAATGATCCTGTTCGTGCCCATGTTCAGGCATACATTGCTGCAAAGGATAGTGGCCAATTTCCATATTCTGCTGAACCCATCCACCCCCTTCTGACTCAGACACCTGCGTCCAATGCCCCCATCTATCTTGGTCAATGGGGTCCTGTCACTGTGCTCAATCCAGCACCCGCATATGCCAGTGCAATCCATCAGCCTTCGTCCCACACTGAACCACCTGCAGTGGGGTCAGCCCCTGGGCCAGCAGCTGCATCAAAGGACAACAAGTTAAAGGGAAAACAAAAAGAGAAACTTAATGAGAAGGGCATGAAAGGTATGTCCCAGCATCTTACTACCTCTTTTCAAGCTCACTTTTGTTTAGAATTCGAGTATCAATTCATGTTAAACATGATGGATCCGAAGAAAGAGAATGAAACAGTCTATCTTCCTGACTCGAAATCCCAATCAGTGCAAGAAGTGCTTGATGAGATTTTAGGCAGGATGAAGGTGGAACTCTCTGTCCACCAGATTGGATATCGTCTGTCTGATGAGAAGGAATGCATCTTCACTCAGATTCATGATGTGAAGAATTTTGCTCATGCAATTGAGGCTCAGCGTGATATTCAATCCCAAGCATACAAGTCAAAGAAATTATGCATTATTAACAAGGTTAATTTACTGTGCTATAGATATACATACTACACAAGTCTTACCATGTGTGGCTCTAGGATGCAGTCTTAAATGTGTGGCGATCAAGAAGCGCTGCACAGCCACACCCTCGACTGTTGTGCAGCACTCATCCACACATCAATCAATTTATGAAGAACTCTGTAAGAGGCTCTGGTGCCACACTTGTGCACAACACTGCTATCGTCACCCTGCTGCGGAGTTCCACCATTTGCTTGTCAGTGATGAGGCACTCACTGTCTGGGCAAGAGCAATGGCATGTTCATTTCACGCTCATATGCCTTCCCACCAAGACTGACCAATTCCATAGACTGATGGCATCAAAAGAGTTTCCTTTACTGAGCCACCCAAGAGCCATCTTTTCAGTGCTTTGCCCCCCAAACCCATACAGGGTGGTTCCCGCACCCGGAGGTGGCCATGATCTGCTACCCCTCCATCTCCAACACTGATGCTGGCCAAGCGCAGGAAGCCTCTTGGTGAGGTTATTCCCAAGAAACAAGTGCCCTCAAAGCACTTCAAAGAGGCTAAACAGTCCCTGGGTCGTCATCAAACTCTTCTCCCATGCTCATCTGCTGCCTCAGAGAATAGGCCAGTCATTCTTGTCCCAGCAACTCCAAGTCCAAAGACTCACACATATGTTCTTGATCTTTCTCCAAGTCCAATCAAACATGCTTCAACTTCGCAACATGCAAGTGTCCCCCAAACCCCATTGGTCTCATGCACTGCACCTTGCTCTTGTGCAGAACACCAGGGCAAGCCAGGCTCACCCCCACTTATTGAAATTTCTTCTGATTTGAGCTCTCCAAATGCATGCATTCAACTATGCTCACCACCAGTGACACACCTTCTTGATTCTGGCTCTGATTTTGCATCCAATGATGCATCCGGTGAAATTATTCATGATGAACCACTTGATGACCCATGGGAGGAAATATGGTGATTTTCTGCAATGGTTCCAATGTACCATATGAGTGTCTACTGACGACAAATTTCTGAGAACTTCATGTGTATTCCAACTTTCTACTCACTCTGTATATTCAAGTTTCTGCGCACA